CCGGCGATGATTCAGTCGGTGCTAGAAACTTCGCGCTATGCAACATGCTGCTCGACTGGCTGGTCGGCACGGTCGGTGAGGACGAAGAGGTGATCAGGGCATCAAAGGTGTGTCGCGTTGTCATTGCCGGTAACTCGATAGCCAAGGAGCTGCAGAACCGGTCGTACGGCCAGGTAGCTCGCTACCTCTCCCGTAAGGTGGCGATTCCAAGCGTGGAGGCTGTACGCAACTTGGACCAGTTTTTAGCCAAGTTAGCGGTAAGAAACAAAAGCTTTGTCCTTTAATAAAAATTGTGGTAAGTAATTATCAAAAAACGGTCATATTTCAGTTTTGTTGTTAATATTTCTGGCTGAACAGAGCTTTACCATAAATTAACAATACCAGCTTCAGTGGATCCTCTGCAGTTGCGACTCTCTTAAGCAGTAAGCTTTGGTCTTGCTCAGTGTCTAGTATTTGTTAGTAAATTTAGAATATACAGAAATGTCATTGAGCGTAGTCTGCTTAAATGGTCCCCAGGCTACTAGAAGCAAGGAGGCGGTCAGCTTTGCCATGTAAATCCAAATAATTGGCAGGAGAATGTTATTCTAGAACGTGATAGCGAAAACTAGCATTTTTGTATACATGCCTGTGGAATGCAATATTTTTTTTATTATTCAATTTGAGCATGTTTATTTGACCCAACAAGTGTTGTTTTACATTTATAAACCGGGGTATTAAAGTATCATGCAACTGTGGCCTGCTAAACGGTCCCTCTAGGCTGCTAGAAGGAATGGAACGGTACGCTTCGCAGTGTGAATCCACAGCATTGACAGGAAATGTAAGACTAATCTTCCGTCTGTCGAGAACCATTGGAGTGTTAATTTACTTGAAAACACGTTTAAACAGAGTAATGTTCAACAGGTTATAGATACTTCGCACCTGCTTTCCGTACCTTGAACACCGTCATTTTTAAGCGTATACTTAAACATGGTAATAACATGCAAATTTTTAGAAATTTGTCAATATTGATCTTATGCCTGGCGAATTCGATCCTGTAAATCATATGCTTCCGCAGCAACCGATGAATGTGCGTATTTTTCCAAACGTCGGACCGATGTCCACTTTCCATCCGGTGACCAACCCGTATAGTGCTACTATTGACGGAGTGAAGTAAATAATCAAAAATCTAGTTTGTTTTTCGTTTACTTTTTCCTACCTTAGGTTTTTGGGTACGTCCGGGCAGAATATTGACGACGTGTACAGATTCAGCAGCATAGAAAACCGGCTTGAGATTCTTGCTTCTACTTTATCGTGGGGACACATGTGTCCCACAGCCCCTGATACCTTAGGTAAGAATTTGCTTTTTATCGTTTTGCGCAACAACACATGCAAATTTGTTCAGATTGCTTTCCATTCTATGACCGGGATCCGTTTATCATTGAACAGAGTCCTCACGTCTATTTTTGCGGCAATCAGCCAGAATTTTCGTCCAAAAGAGTTAACCTGGGGTCCGGACCTAAAACGACCTTAGTGACCGTCCCCAGCTTCAGCGAAACTGGCATTTTCGTACTGATGAACGTGAAAGATCTTACCGTAGAACCTGTCATTCTCAGTACCGACTTCACTGCATCCATAGGCAACGATTTCGACATCGCCGTCAACAAATAAACGAGTCTTTTGTACTTATGACTACAGATCAGATTTTGCATGCTGTTCTCAATGTGGAGAAAAATGTGTATATACCACGTTTCAACTTCGATCCTGAAATCATCATCGACAGTAGCAGTAAATGACTTCATCTTCTCACAGGACTGACAATTGGAGCCATCTTGAGTGCACTTCTTGTACGATTCAAATGTACTACTCTTCGTTTCTCTGCTACTCCTACTCTAAAAAGTCCAGTTTGTTTCATATCGAGTGCCATTTCGTACTCTGCGAAGAACACACAAGAGAGAGACATGCATGTGGCGACTGACAAGACCTTTCCAATTGTTTGTAGTTTTGTAATAAAACCATATATATGCCACTTTTCTGTATGATTACTAATGCAAAACAAGGCATTTTATATTGCGTTACACTGAAATGTACTATTTATCGTACTTGAACTATGACTAAAGGATCAAAAAATTATACAAAATCACAGAAGAAAAATTTATATAGAGACAAACTCAGAAATTAATTTATTTGAGATTTATTCCAACGGAAATATCAGAATAGCTGCATAACACCGGTAAAGCCGAATCGGATGATGAAAATGAGTCGCGATTCCTTTTCACTGTCGTCATACACGTAGATTTTGGAAGAATACAAAATTTGCTAACGAACAAATTGTACATAAGTGACTAGTAAACAGCTAGTAATCATTATAGCGCAATACGAGTAGACAGTCGATTCGTTCGACGTCAACTGGCATCATTCCATCTGTAAGGTTCCGGCGCCCATGCCATAACCGTACCCCTTCGGACCGAAAGACCGCCCATAACATGCTAAACACAACGCATTTGTGTATAAAGTGATTTAGCATGTAAATCACTTGTCAAACGTTAAAAATCCTAAGAGTAAATCTTATTACATATACTTATCAGGCAGAAATGAAATAAAGTAACGGTCCCACAGTTTTATACAGTAGTTCATTCATCTCAAAATTAGAAAATAACCTAAAAGTTCTGATTTTGTAACCCCTAAAATAATTGTGCAATAATATACGTTTTTCAGTATTTACGACCAGTGAGGTGATAAACATATAAGCGATTCAAGCAGACATAATGCATAGAATATTAGACCTAAAGACACACTCATAGCAAATACGATAACAAAGCATATATGATAATATATTATCGAATTAATTATCTCTATTACATAATATACAAGTATATGTATACATTTACTACTGCATGTGCTCAACAACCTTCGAGCCCATATCTGTTTAAATATCGCCAAGAAACTAGGAGGGAGGAAAAAGAAGTTTCCAACGGTTGCAATGTCGGTTCTCCTTACACTTTGATCAGTTGGTCATTTTTGGTGCTCTTCTTTTTATTAAATTAATGCTGAAGCACTAATTTC